ATTTACTCAGTTGCCCAAAAAACGATGTAAAAAATATATGCGGTGGCAAACATGCAAAGAAGTGGAAAATATAATCAAATTTACATCGGTTCTTCCTAAAACCGATGTAAAAATGAAGTATTCTACGTCGGGTTTCCTTTTAACCGATGTAGAAGTGATGAGCAATAATGCCACTCAACATTCTTCCCTTTCTCTCGTCTTCAACCAAACCCGTCTTTTCCCTAACCCTCCCTCCGCAAATCTTCCACCCTCCGCAAACCCTATCCCTCGACCCTCCCTTCTCCAACCTTCCGTGATTTCGTCAAATCAATGGCCAAAGACACCGATTCTGACGAGTTCGTCTTGCTCTCTAGGGTTCGCTGCGGCCTCAAGCGTGAGTTCGCCTTCATCATGAAGGCCCAGTCCGAGATCTGCACCGCCTCCTTGGGCCGGACGCGGGCCAACAAGAACCGTCCCGACCCGCCGCTCCAGCCCGCCTCGGCTCGCAAGCACTCCAGGAAGGCCGAGGAGCCCAAACCCCCCGAGGACTTGGTTTTCCGGCAACAAACATGGTATGCTACCAAAGCAACATACCTGGAGTAGTCAAGGAGTACATGCCGGCTCAATCGTGCACTCTCAACTAGAAGGATGTACTGCTAGGGTCTTGTCGGGATAGCAAAGTCGTGCAAGATATGTCCCATGCACACAAACAGGCAGAACTGGGCCTTCCAAACCGCACTATCCCCTAGGACTCCTCCAAGATGTTTCACACATGGAGGGCCTTCCCTAACGATTATTCCATATCGTACCCCGTCACATAAATGCATATGATGCATGTCACACATTCACAAACTCATGGACTCATTAAGGGTGTGCATGGTTTGGTTTTTTTAAAAAAAACCGCACTGAACTACACCACACCATTACCCTCTACTCCAACATAATATACAATAATTGTAAGATAAAATTATAATGAATAAAAACTTTCTCAATTAGATAAGTCTCAATTAACAAAGAGGTAAAGGATTCACATTCGCATACATAATCATAATTCACTTGCGGAAGAAACTAAAGTCCTAAACTAGTCCTAACTATGCCCCAATGTCACATCCTATCAGAGCACTCCCAATTGAAGCCTAAGTCTCATCACCAACATCCTCATGCTGATGATCACCTACAGCACAATAAGAATACAAGTAGAGCAAATAGGGGAGTGAGAAACATCTCACTTGGTTTCAGGTGTAAAAATAACAGTTAGACAACACACACACAACAAATATAATACAAGTCAAAAGCACCAATCACTTATAGACAACACACATACACAATTAGTATCACATGCACACTCATTTATCATGCAATGATGTCATGGACTCGACTCATAAATGCATGCATGTGGCGCCAGTCATGTGTCTCATAATCACATATCACATGGTATGCTACCAAAGCAACATACCTGGAGTAGTCAAGGAGTACATGCCGGCTCAATCGTGCACTCTCAACTAGAAGGATGTACTGCTAGGGTCTTGTCGGGATAGCAAAGTCGTGCAAGATATGTCCCATGCACACAAACAGGCAGAACTGGGCCTTCCAAACCGCACTATCCCCTAGGACTCCTCCAAGATGTTTCACACATGGAGGGCCTTCCCTAACGATTATTCCATATCGTACCCCGTCACATAAATGCATATGATGCATGTCACACATTCACAAACTCATGGACTCATTAAGGGTGTGCATGGTTTGGTTTTTTTAAAAAAAACCGCACTGAACTACACCACACCATTTTAATAAAATGAACTGGTTTATAAATTATGTGAACCACTTTAACAAACCATTTTAAAATTGAATTACTTTAATAAACATGTTTATAATCGGTTTAAAACCAGTTTCATAATCAAACCAGTTTTTGAACCGGTTTTAAAAAATAAACCAGTTTTAAATTGGTTTTAAGAATGAAACTGACAACTAATATGAACATTAGCACAACAGGTACTCCAAACCCAATTTTCCATCCCACATTTTCTTGAATGTACACAATTACACTCAATGAAATCACGATTGATATTCCAATTGAGGCATGAAAAGTGGTGGATTGTTAGAACGACTTATTCTCAAACTGAGACCTTATCGAACTAACAATTTTATTAAATGATTCACCAATCCATGTTAATCCCAAGCGGGACCCTCCATGGATTAGTGGTTTTCGCAAAGTAGGGTTCTTGGAGTCGCCACCAATGTTTTACTCAAAACATTGGAAAAAG